AGAGAGAGAGCGGCCAACAGATCAACAGTTGCTGTGACTTTGGTTGAGCGACTGGCCAGGCTGCTGCACGCCACCCAGCCCAAGTTCGGGGCACCCGACCCTGAGTAAACTGACAAATGCCTGGCCTTTGGGTGCGCCTGCAGATTGACGTGACCCTGAGGGCATTATGACCTCACTGCATTGGGCACACACACTTATAGCCATGTTCCCGCTCACAATGTTTATTCAAGCACCTGACAGAGTACATTGCGCTTACGCTCACCCACACTTGTCGGGCTGTTTGACTTATTGTCATGGAGATGGAACAGCTCTAATGATGCTTGCACCCAGGAAAGAGGGCTGTAATTTGCTCCTAATTAACGTGTTGAAACGATGTGATTTGATGCATTCTCCACAGCTGAATCACACAGTTGATTTACAGTGCACGACACTGGAAAACAAAATGATTTAATTTGATCACTGCCTTGTTAGCGTTAGCAAAGAAAAAGGCACATTTGCTTCTCTTAACTGCCTCCACAGTTTGTATTCACAGAGCTTTTATGTGCTGGTGCTGCTTGTTAGCAGAGACACACACAAGCATATGGCACACACGTACACATTATAGCCTTGCAACGCACAGTACACTCATCGGGCATATTTAACTCATCTTGACAAGGCTGTTAATTTCTCTGAAACCAGGGCCGGATTCCAACCACTCTCTCCATCCACGTCCCCTCTTCCCTCCAAAATGCCCAGCTGTTGCCGCGGTAGACAGCTGCTTCACGGGTAGAACGAATCTCAGCTGTCGAGGGGAGTTGTGCAAGGGGGTTGGTGGATTTTGGGGTTTGTGTTCCCTCAAACCAATGACGCTCCACTCCCTGCTCTGCGCTGAGTTGGGTGGAGTGTGGAAAAATGCTGACAGATAGCAGATTTAGAGACAGAAACCAGAGGCTACAGCTGTCTGTGTGTTTACAACCAGAGCTGCTCAGAAACTCCGGGGTCAAACAAGTGACGTCCCCGAAAAGTCTATGTAGTGTAATTTCGTCTTGCTCGCTTCGCTGTGCAAGCTGCAATGTTTGGCAGTTGGGAAATAAAAGAGGACTAGCATATGCTTGGCGCTTTGATGTTCGATTAAGTTTTATTTTTACATCAAAAGTTTACCACAATGAATATTTACCACAAAAGGATCCGTCGCCAAATCCAGTGAGAGGTGAACAAACTGTCAAATTTTATTCGCTGCTCAGAAACTGCTTTAAATATGACTCACAAGCTGTTTATTGCTCTGGTGTTTTTTTCCTGATTTACCTTTTAATCAGCTGAACTTGCCTGGTATTATTCAGGCTACACACTGTAAAGGTCAAAGGTAATACAAGCTCACTTCAGTCTCCCACCGTGGGGAGCAAACAAGGTCTCTGGGCTGTGATCTTTGAGCGTATTCTAATGAGCCTGGACAGCCTGGCACCTGATCAGAAAGGCAGTTGTATCATACACAAATTTCACATTGCATAACAAACTAGATTACAGAGGAGGGGGAAACAACAGCATCTCATTACTGACCACAGAGGGATCGGGGTCTGACCAGAATATGCTGCTGTTCTTTGTTGCAAATGGAGACAATATGTGGCCCCCGCTACGGAGTGACATCCTCCATGTCACAGAGAGACATTTGAATTGTGTTGTGAATTATAACGGGTGTGGGTTAGAGTCACAGAGAGGCCAGTGACCATCTTGTTCTGCGCTGATCACAACCAGCTTGTTGATGGCGGCTGGAGGAAGCTGAACTGCCCCCCACCCCCCAAACTAACACTAATATTACAGTGTAGTTGTCCACTTTCGATGCGTACAGTGACATAAGCAGGCGGGCAACGGCTTTTGATCATGCGTAAAACTGCTGCACACACAGAGGTGGAACCAAGTCATTGATTTGCAAGTGTCTGTACTCAAGTCCAAGTCCCAAGTCCTCGACCTACTGTTCGTTGTGCAGCTTTAAATCTTGAGCGACGTCTGTCATTTTCGACCTGCACATTTTTTGTTGACCACAGCATAGATTTTATATGTGAATGAAATTATCTTTGGTGTATTTTTTTTCCAACTGCTGCTCAATAACATTTACAGTTCATTCTTGATGGTTCTCTCCCGCAACTTGAGATGCTGTCAGATAGGTTCCAACAAAGTGGATCTGGGGAATTAAGTGCTGACTGGGAGTAAATAGCGTTAACATTTGAAATGACATACCTTTTAATCTTTGGGTTTGAGGGTCTCAGTCAAAAGCCTCAAGTCCAAGTGAAGTCACGAGTCATTGGTGTTTAAGTCCAAGTGGAGTTGCAGGACTTTTGATCCTGTAAAGTCTAAAGTCATCAAATTTGTGACTCAAGTCTGCCTTTTAGGCAGGCTGCAGTTGGACAAAATGTTATGTCGTATGAAGGTAGCAAGCTCTGGAATAGCCTACCACTCTCAGTCAGAGAATCATCCAGCTTCATAACATTCAAGAGGCTTCTGAAGGTGTGGATTAGGACCAACCAGATCTGTGACCATGTGTAATCACCTCCATGAACTTGATGTAACAGAGCAGTGTACTACAGGGCCATGTGCAATTTCTTATGCACTTTAATATGCAGTATGCACTTCATATTTATAACTGTACTATTTATTAGTAATATGTAGTAGGACAATGTGCAATCTTCATTTAGTACTGGTCAATTTTCTGTTATGCACTAGCACTTTCTAAGAGCATTGTGCAGTTTAGATTTGTATTATTTAAATCTGTGCAATCCATATGTTATCTATGCAACAGCACTTTATTTACATGCACCAGCACTTTACGGTAAGCACTTTCCTTTTTTGCACACTAGCTTGACTGGTCTCTGTACTCTGTTCTGTGTACTTGTATGTATATGTCTTGAATGATCTGTGTACTTTTATTGTGTATGTTCTGTTTCTTTTCTTCTTTTCTATTTTATCTGATGTAATATCAACCTGCCAAGGGACTACAGATGGAAACTAGCCTACGGCTATAATCTGGCATATTTACGTGTATATGTTTATTAATATGCACTGTCCCTTTTTAAATACATAAATTGAAATTGAAATTGAAGTCTGACTTGAGTCGAAGTCATGTGACTTGAATCAACACCTCTGGTACACTGGGGATGTGCCCCCCACAATATGCTTTCTAATTACTGCCCTGCACTGTATGACTGTCAGATCAACTGAAATTGTGTGATATGCATCTCATATGAGCACATATGTGACATATTTTGTTTTTGTCGCCTCCCACAAACAAGGCAGTTTATTTCCTGTCTAAAACAGTCAATTTAAACCAGATATATCTGCTTGATTGCAGAAAAATGATCACAGGGGGAATGTAAAGCCACCAACTGTCCAATAATGGAGGAAGAGATTGAGGACACCAGTACTACTGCAGTTGCTGAGACTGACTAAGGACACAACTTCTCCATAACCCCAGTGGAGAGGAGGAGTTTGATCAATACTGTCTACATGCAACTGAATCCATGAATACAGATGTGTCTCTGAATGTGGAGAAGTACATGTATAGTGGTGATACAATAACAATTGACTGACGTGTTTGTATTTTTATAACCTCCCTATGTCTACCCAACTGACATAAAAGTGTCTGGAGAAAAATATGGGTGATTGCATATAGGAATGAGGTTGTCTGGATGCCTGTGTCTGTGTTTCCTCTGTAAATATACTATGAAGAAGACAGGTTGATGTAAAGCTTACATTTGTTATGTGATACAGAATTTTAGTTTTATTTATTCTGACGGGTAGCTATAATCTACAGAGACTGATTTCATCTCTACTTTGTTATTAAACCCTGTTGCGTCTGACTTTCTATCTTGTGTTCTTATGTCGCCCTCTTGTGGTGCATTATTGAAATCACATCTCCAGCGCGCTCTACAGGTGGCTGCTGGTTGTCCTCCACATTATATAAATAACAGTCATGCTGATGTAGACACATTACTTTGGTTGCTTACATTAGGCAATTTCTTGGCTCCTTATTGAATCACTAACTGAATGGACGACACCTGTTATTATATTTAAAGCACCTCATACATGCATGACATCATCTAAGGCGTGAAAGCCATTGATTTTTAATTGGATCACTTTCAGCTCGTTGGCTAATCTTAAGAATCCGCATCAAAAATATTTAAGCATGCACTAATTCATACACAGTTCAACACACATGTTGTGTTCACACAGGCACACACACATCATGAACATGCATACATTTTTATTTAACCTTTATTTAAGCAGGAAGTCCTATTGAGATTGAAAACCTGTTTTACAAGAGACACACTTAATGCAATAAATACAACTTATAATACAAAAAAAATCCACAATAAAACAACAACTATTCCAGCATAGTGGTCTCTCAAGAAAAACAAGCACATGCCTCTGTCACCACATTCTTTATAATGCCCATAAAATTCACCAAAGGATAGAAGTGTTTCTAAATGTGGATCGTTTTTAAGACTGCTCCATGTCCAAGGTGCAGAGTAGGAGAATGCAGTTTTCCACACATCTGTTAAAACCTGGGGTACATTAAAAAAGCAACCACCTGGGGGAGGGTAGCTGGTAACTACCTGAGCTGACACACTTAAGGGTGCAGAGGTAGGCCGGAAGTTTGCCGAAAAAACACATGAAACCTACATATATTGGCACATATGCTCCAAATATGGTAAATGCATCTTATTTTGAGGGTTAGGGACACACTGTCTTAATTATAAAAAGCAGATTATTGCAAGAAAATATCCACTGAGAAAAATATTTCTAACCTTATGAGACATAAACTGATTTTGACTAACATCAGTGTCACATCATGATGTAAATGCAGCACCATGAGCAGTGTCCTGTGTTCCCTTCATAATCATCAGTGATAATACATCTGTGTCATACAGTCCGTACAGTTACCTTGTCAACAGATAAGTCACGTGGTCAAAGTTACCACAGTCTCTACAACAAACCCACAATATTTGTCCCTGAGGAGCACAGTGAGTTTATAGTGTGAGGATGAAGGGCTGAGGCGCCTCTCAGCTCAAAGTGCAGCGCCCCTGCGTCCCGGCTGTTTTGCGCTCAAGGTGGAGTTTTGTGCCACATCACATCACATCGCTGCCGCTCTAACGCGCAGTGCCGAGGCTGTTGTCCTGAAAAGAGCAAGCTGCCAGCAGCAGGAAGCGACTCAACAACACCAACACCAACAACGGAAGCAAGCGCGTTTTGTTTTTTCCACATTTCGGGACAATTCTCGCTCCTCACTTTGAGTAGAGGAGGTGTCGAGGAACATGCGTTCAACGCGCAGGTGAAAACAAGTCTGCTGATTCAAGTTCCTCGCTGCAGTAACTTTTAAGCCCTCGGAAGATTTTTGTTTTTGTTGTTGTTGTTTGCTTTTGAAACCTTGAAATGTCTCGCAAGAAGACTGCCAAAGGCAAAGCCGGGAGCAGCAGCCCGTCTGCGGGCAGCCCCACTGGGAAAGGGACCACCACCGCCGGGAAGGCTGCGAGGAGCAGCCCGGGGATTGTTCAGATGAACGGCGTGGTCCATCCCAGCAGACCCTCCATCAGCAACAGCAGCGAGTTTTATGACATCGCTTTCAAGGTAGGATGTTGTTGTTTAGCAAATGCATGATAACAAACTGCAACTCACATTAAAGTGGGCTTTGATTTCTGACATTTAAAGCCCCAAAATAACAGAAATTACAAACAATGCACAGAGTAAATGATCATATGGACACTTTTTTGGCTTTTAGGGCAAAAATATATCAGTTAAAGAAGAAAAACACACACAGTACATGTGTTTGTTGTCTACTATATTCTTCCTCAGTGTCTTCCTCCTGTCCATCTTTCATTGTCTTCCGTTTTACAACCACCTTTATTCATTAAACAGCAGCGGGCTGCTGACACCAGCTGTGTCAATAGTCGATCGATAACCCAGAGAGGTGCACTCTGCCGTGCAACAGCCAGCAAACAAATCATTGTGTGCAACTGGTTGAATGCATGTGTTGTCCCTGCTGCACATATGACTGGCTTTTGCATTTACAGTGAGCGATTTCAGTGTCGAGTAGAGAACTGTCACCTCACCACAACACAAACACAGTTTCACACCCACAGATTCGCAGTGTGTACTCCCAACATAGCTTCAAGGGACTTGTGCCACCTACTCCGTGTTTTTGAAGCAGCTGTTTGATGCGAGCGCATGATGTCTTTGTGGTGCTCTTTCTGCAGGGAAATTGGATTGATTGCTCCATGTGAGCTGCAGATATCTTTATTAGATTAATTATTTGTTGGCTGCAGGGGCTCCCATCTCTACAGTACACAGCATCCTTACAGCCAATAAATTATCAACTGCAAAAAAAAGGCAATTTTTGCAGTTTCAGACTGAGCTGAAGTAAGATATACTCCTGTAAATACATTTGGTTATGTGATATGACAAGTAGCAGCATGTTCAGGCAGAAATCCAACAATATTCACTCCAATTTTTGTCCTAATTCTTCCTAGAGCTCTTGCCATAATGCTCATTTTGATGTTGCATTGGATCAAAAGATCCCACCTGTAGCTCTTACCTTAAGAGTGGACCTCTCCCTGATTTCACTGTGCCACGTTTCAGCATTTACCGTTCCCTCTGATCGCTATTCTGCATTGAGTCAGAGAGGAAATTGATTGCATTTATTTATAAAAACCTAAGGGCAGGGAGAGACCAGGTGCCTCCTCCTGCACACCCCTGCAAACATTAAGCACATGTCAAGCTGTTTCATGGTGAAGTCATGAGAGAGAGGAAGAACAACAGATACAGAGACGAAAAAGAAAGAGTTGAAATACAGAGGGCGAGATCTTCATGCATATTACCCTGCTGTATTTTGTATCTGACCCTGTTACATCCCTTCATTCTTCCTCCTGTCTTTCATCTCCTCTGAGCACCCAAGAGGCGCTTTTGATTTCCAGGGTCTAGGGCATCACAGTCTCTCAGCTAACCCGATAACAGTAACCACATCAAACCTTTAACTTCATCACAGCTTGGAATAAAAAGAGCAGCAGCAAAGCCAGAGTGTGTCTGTTTTGTGTGTCTGCACACACGCATGAGATGTGCATTGAAGACGGTTGTGTACATTCACACGCTTACAGAAAGGGCATCCACTGGGTGGCCATAATGAGCAGTCACACACTCATTCACATCCACCCTCTTCACTGGCCACGCACCAAAATACCAGGATTAATTTAGCTGAATGATTCAAATGTCCTGTTTTTTTCTTCCTGAGGACAAACAACCAGACACTGATATAAAATTAAACATATGAGCAAAAGCTCCCTCTTCTTCGTGCTCCTACATGTCTTTTTTTATGCTTGTTTCTTCACTTTTTTTTGACATTTACCTTTATCGATTAGTCAGACAGACTGAAGTTTTATCCCTCGCACCTCTGTTTGCACATTTTTGTGTGTGTGTGTGTGTGTTTCTTTGTTCAGCCCTCCAGTTATTCCTGGCTGAGTTTTTCCCTCCTGTATTCCTTTGCAGGTGATGCTGGTTGGAGACTCAGGTGTGGGGAAAACATGTCTACTGGTGCGTTTTAAAGACGGCGCTTTCCTGGCTGGCAGCTTCATCTCCACCGTGGGCATCGACTTTAGGGTGAGTTGAAATCTGCAACCAAAGTCAAACAAGCAAAAACTGACAAATCACCCACATGCATGCAAACACACCGTCAGGTTTAGTACCTTTAATAAAAATGGGGCCATATGTACTAATGAGATTTTTTTCAAAGCTATTCAGTGTCTTTAATGCCCCAGAGCTATGAGTATTTCCTGTGTTAGACGTCTAACAAGATAGGATATTGATTTCTTAAATTAGTTTGACATGCTTTAGTTTTTTAGTCTCCCTGGTTGATAAGTGTGTCTCTCATGTGCTAGTTTTGCGGTCCCACACGGGCAGCTGGGAAGGAACGTGTCCATCTTTTCTAATGATCACACTCAGGTGTCCAAGACGCAGAGACAGGCAACCACTCTGAGTAACACTCTGACCCAGGGCGGCAAAAGGAGACAGTTGCCTGCCTCCAGCTCTACAGTGACCTCATGCACAGAGTCAGCTACAGTACAGTAACAGCCCTGGGTGTTCGCTGAACTAGTGCTTTTAATCACTGGACTTTTTCTGGACAATTTCATGTAGTAGTTTCATGCTGATCTAGCATCGTACTCCTGTGCTGTTGTCAGACTCGATCGAAATCAATCAATGCGGCAGAGCCAGAAACACTCTGTGCATTCATCTTCCTTGTTAAAACCTGGTGACTGCACACCCACATTAGGGCTGAACGATATAGAGAAAATCAAATAATTATTTTTTTTTCACCAAATACCTCAATATCAACATTGCGATGATATTGTAGGGTTGACTATTGACATTTTTGGTCAGTAAGAGCAAGTAATAGAACAGCCAGAACAGTCTGGTAGGTTCAGAAAATTACAAACCAGGACAAGACGACACTTATAATACTGCAACATCCAAAATCTAAGACTATGATGTCTAGTCTCATCACAGTATCGATATAATAGTAATATATTGCCTAGCTCCAGCTGCAGTGCAACTCGAGTGCCGACCTTAGGTCAAAGGTTTGGGTTCATTATGCTGGTAGCAAATGATGTAGCCTCAAGCCGCCAGCCTCAATCAGAGATGAGCAGCAGGCTGTAGAGGTCTGGTAAGCTCACTTATTTTCAACTTGAAACCAGAGCCAAACTTAACAGCAGGGGTCGTGTTACCAATTATTTGTATATGACATTGACGGAAAAATCTGGAGGCCGTCCATCATTTTGACAGATTGGAAACACTGAGAGATCTACTGTAACTTTAAGTAATCCACACCCCTGTCCAGTTGGTGGCGTGTACATATTAATGAGCTGTTGTCTGCTCATGTCTTTGAGCTCACATACATGATCATGTCGTCTCGCTGGCCTCAGCCAAAGAGGTTACCCCTTTGTTTGAGCCATTGCAGTGGTAGGCATTGCAAAATTCAAGATTGAAGATTCAAGAGGCTTTATTGTCAATTCTACAGTTATGTACAGGCATACAGAGAATCGGAACAATGTCTCACTCTGAATTGACCCACGATGCAGGCAGTGCAAAAGGATAGTATAGCATAGAAACTAATACAAATAATAATAATACAAAAAAATTAATAAATAAGAGCAATCAAGAAGTCCAAAGAACTAACTGCAGTCAATTCAAATGTGCACATTTTCAACAGTTTGAATAGCAGCTTGCATACCAGACAAGAACAGTATATGGTGAAGTGGCTGGTGCCTTTTGGGTAATATGGTTAGTATAGGTAACCAGAGTTTATGGGGGTGGGTGGTGTAAGAGGTCAGGGCTGTGTTGTGTGTGTGTTTATTGTGTATCAGGCTGCAGTGCCTCAGTTTACTGGGGGCTGGGGGAGAGAGTTCAGTTTCCTGACAGCTTGGTGGTTGAAGCTGTTCGTGAGTCTGGTGGAGCAGGCACGAAGGCTCTGGTACCTTGATGTCACTCGAGTCAGTCCCAGTTGGGGCTGAAGAGTACAAGTTTGCAAATGTGCAAATGCAAAATGTCCCGGCAGCTGAGTGTTGGAAACTTAAAAAGCCCAATAATTGTGATGGCACTGATGTACAAATTTGAAAAAGTAGGGCTGCCTGGTTTGCATGAGTTAACACAGTTGCAGAGGCTAACATCCGACACAGAGCCATTAAATATCCCGACAAACTCACATCAACACATATAAGGCTTGACTCTCTTAAATCTGTTCAAAACCATTTGGTAACTTTAGCTGTGTGATGCTAGAAGTTTGACCTGTAACTGTGTGTGTGTGTGTGTGCGGGTGGGCTAACAAACTGTCTCTGGTCACGGAGCTCATACACTTCCAGGAGTCTCATGACAAACAAAGTAAGAGCAGGGCAAGGATGTGCCAAGTGTATTGATAGGCTGCTTGCAGCTTTGCATTGAAATAAGATTATACCCATTTTAAATAGTGAAAAATTAGAGCGGTCATGTTCAGCAACACCCGCACAGCCGAAGCGTCATACATTTGCTGTTGATTACTAATGTTACTAAAACTCTGGAATCCAAAAAATGAGTAAAAAGAGGGATTGGTGCAGTGGAGAATGAAAGATGAGCAGGTTACACTGATTATGATGGAATTTTTACGACCCTGTCCATCAAAATGACGGACAACAAGAAAGTTGAACACAAGCTCTGCTCCAAACTCACAGATTGTTTTCATTTTCAGACTTGTAGTCTTGCAGTCTTCTGACGTGAGTGACATCACTTTAGATAGATGTTAAGCAGCTCCCTCTGGAGCCACAAAAGATTTTATAAAACTTTTTTCACTCATGCAGTAGTACTCCCCAAGACCTGTAACAAACTTCAATGTGTAAAAGTGATTCAGTTCCCCTTTAACTAACCTGTGTGGTCATTTCTGAGTGCCTCAGTTTGTGGTTTTTGACTTCTCGGAGATCTCAGATTTTGATGTTGATGTGAGTGGTCAACGTAAAACTGACTCATTTGCAGTCTGAATCATTAAAGAGATGCATTTTACTGCTTCCCCTCCCTCATCACTTTTAGTTAGTGCCTGTCAACTGCTAACTTGTTCCTCCGCCACTCTGTCTGAGCTAAGTGGAAACTCTCCATGTAAGTTTATCTTGACTTGCACCTCCACCCATCACGGTAAATTAACTCACCATTACATAAAGTGTAAGTGCAACATAAGATCCTTTATACTCTTGGGAGACATGCTCGCACGGACTGCCACTGTGTGTGTTTAAACTAAAGTAACCAACCATTGTATAGCCCTGTGTGTGGGTTGGATGAGTTCGTGGGTGGATGAGCAGTTGATTTATTTACTTATGTAACGTCTCTTATAACACTCTGTCTGTAGTCCCGATGTACATTTGGGCCTATCAAAGTAAAGCAGAGGCCTTTATCAGCTATCTCTGCCCGCTGCATGTACTGATAATTGAGGAGGAAGCACAAAACTCATAAAGTTTGGTGCTTAGTCTGCATTTTTGTCACATTGACTTATTTAATTGCAGTGTGGCACAGAGCTGTGTGGCATAAATAATTTTTATTATTATCCCGTTCTCTTCTGCATGGGTTCTTGTTGAATGGTTCGGTTTTTCAGTGCAAGTGAAACACGAGGATCCCTCCTAACATGCATATTTTTATCTTGATTTTACCTTACTTATATTCACAGTGTTCACACAAATGAGTGCGTACATGTAAAGTTACCTTTTACGTGACTGCACAAATCTGTTTTAGAAGTTGAGAGACCAGGATGTTGAGCAGGAGAACATGAAGGTCCTCTGTGTTTGTCTTCCTGTGGAAGATGCACAGAGAAAGAGAGACAGGCCGTGATTGTTATTTTTAGCAGAAGACAGTTTTGATCCCTTTTTAGTTGGTGGGAAAGACGGGCAATTTACTTCATATGGGGATTTGATCCGGTTCCCACTTCAAAGCTGCAGCGAAATGCTGTGTTTTCCATCCCTCTCTTGTTTATTGTAGTCTCATCTTGTATAAGCCTCAGCATGTTCTCAGGATTACACTGGTGCCTTGTAAGGCTTAAAATACATGGAGTCAGAGTAAGAAATATAGCTCCGCACGAATTGCATTTGATTATAAGATCTCCTCTTAAAAGGATTATTAAGCAATAAATTCATAGACAACAATTAATCACAAGACAGCAAGACAATCTGTTTCTGATCTAATTCTGATTTGTAATCACCATTTAACATAAATAGTAAAAAAGAACTGATTCTATGCGGCTCTGTGGCACATTTATTGCAGTGAAGTTAAGACTAAATCACATTAATTGGATGTGATTTCACCTCTACAGCTTAATCAAACAATCAAACAAGTATTGCTTTTACTACAATTATTGTTATGACTTCCCAGAGATTGTGTGCTCTTATCATCCTAATAAATCTGACTGTGTTGAGGATTATTCAAACCTGCAGTTAAAATGTGAACCTCTTTAAAAGTTAAGGTCAATTTTCTCAGATGCAGCTTTTTTTTTTTTAAATCTTTTTATTATCACCGCTTAACAGAAATTATTTCACTTCTTGTAATCAAACTGGGCTGTCTGTGCAGTAGAAAGACTCAAGTGCTTTTGAAATTGGTGCTTCAGGACCAGAGAAAAGAGAGGAAAAGGACTGTGGTATTGACTTTTGCTCAAGAGGTAGAAAACCTCCAACTACCAGAATGCACTGCGCCACAATGGACCAATAAACACTCCTGCTGGTGGGTGAGGTAATGTGAGCTTAGCAGTATTTCCACAGGGAACAATTTGACGGCCACCAAATCTTGGTTTATATTTGATCAGCACTGCTTAGTTTTACAGTTTGATTGGTGTTTGGTGCGAGTTTGAGAAACAGAGAGAGCAGGTCTGTCTTTTGATCCGCTTCTATAACCTCTGTGTTCATGGTGGCAGCCATACGAAAATGTTGAAGTACAATCTATAGTTTGAGCAACAGTCCTAGAGCTGGCAGGAAATCAGTTGGATAAGCATGCTGAGGAAGGTGGCTGTTGCTCAGGAAGTAGAGCGGGTCATCTACATCAGTCCGCATATCGAAAGTATCCATGCAAGATACTGAACCCCAAATTGCTCCCAATGACTG